ATGTATGGATTGTGATAAGAGTTGTATGAGCCCCTAATAAAACAATTTTAAAAAAACTTGATTTATACTCAAGTATATACAGTAGTTCTCCACACCAGAGAAAAATGTTAACAGGAGAAAGGGCTATGCAGTACACAATTAACCATACCGGCTGCAAAACCTGATGGAATGACAAGTATGACTGTAAGCATCTAAAAGTTAAAAAAAAAAAAAAGATTTTGTATAAAAATGACTCAGTCCAAAAAACCTCTGTAAAAAAAAATGAATGAAACCTACTCGATGCCTAAAATAAAACAGAAAGTAGTAAAAATGCTTGATTCTAGAATAATTTTTTTATATGGCCGAAAGCACAATATTTAAGGCCTTCTAACATGCCCTACTCTGCATCTTGGGACATTTCTAGAAGGCAAAACTTTAATACAATGTAAGAGTGTCAATAACCAAGTGCTCTGGGGAAATAGAATTTGTTAAGCTTCTGTCATTTGTAATAAAATTAAATGGCTCTAAGGTGTATCAGGGTGTACTCTTTTATTGGTCAAAATACTATAGACTCAAACTGATTAGTTAAGTTAAAGCATCGACTTTTTATTCAGTAAAATATCTCCAGATAATAAACACACACCAGTGATAGCCAGCCATATGTACAGAAGTTCTGAGAATAATGTGTGAGCCCACATTCAAGGTCTTTCGCCTCGGCCACATCTTTACTTTGCAGAATGGTTTTGCCTGGTAAGAAATGCAGATGCTTTATCATTTCACTCTTATTAATTTTAATGATTACATTTGTTAATGTAAAAGGGGAATGATTATAAAGCAAAAACTTTGAGCATTTTTCAATCTCTCAGATTTATTTAGTGTAACGAATGGTTATTCTTACACATCCATTGAGAATTGAGTAAGTATATATATATCTTTTCTTAACTTACTAAAAGCTTTGAAATGGCTGTTATTTTCTAAAAGTATTTGGAAAAGGTATTTGCTAAAGAGTAAATGAATAAAATTGCAATTGTAATTGAAATTAGTGAGGTATGCCTTTGGAGCAAATGTTAACTGCACATCTGAAACAACTGACCTTGGGAGGTGACAAGACCATGGTGAGGCATGTTAGTTATGGGAAGGAGAAAGCCAAACGTACCTATAGTCTTTCTGAAACCCACCTCTCCCGTAAGACTGTTTCGAAGAGAAATATGATACTTATCTCTACATGTTTCAGGCCTCAAAGAGGTGGGAAGCCAAATGTAGAGAGGTGTTTGCATGCAATCCATAGTTTCGCAGCTCTCATACCAAAAGAGACTCTGAAAATCTATATCACCAAAATGAAATCAAGCAGCAAATACACAACAGGCTCATTTCAATGTTCAAATACCCGTGGAAGTTTTTTTATATCAAATGTTAATGCTAAATGAAATTGTGCCAAAGAGTCAACGAGGTTACCTGGCATTCACTTTAGAAAGCACAATTATAGGAGATGTGAAAGTGAATGGAAACAGATTTTAACGTAGCTACAGTTTCATTGTTGTCCTTAAAATTTGTTATTTCACAGAAATATCTTATTGGTGAATCAAATATATTCATTCACTTGTTGGTATCAGAAACTAAAACATTAAATTATGGAAGCAATACTCTAAATATACTTTTGATTTTAAAAATACAAATATTTCCAAGACATACCAAAACAGCATTTTACCTGTAAAATCCCAAGCAACATGCCTTGAGCTCTCCCTGCTATTCCATCTGACCATCTGAATTCTCAGACACAATGCACGATTTTCATACACCAAATGGGGTTTTCTCTCAATCTCTCAAATTACTACTAAGAACAGCAGCTTACATTTAAATCACGAGCTGCTCCGTCCCTTGTGGCTGCTCCACCTTAGAAACAACAGATGGGTCTGGCTGCTAAAGCCAAGGTGGGCACTGAAGCTTGCAGCAGGCCCTTCCTCGAACAACCTGCCTGCTCCAACTCCATTAACTGGCAGCCTGGCAGCCCTCACCCCTGCCTAAACCATGGCAGTTCTACCCATAGGGGCCCGGAATGGCAAAACAGCAGGTACATAAACCACAGTGGGGTAATCTTCCACGATTTAACAATCAGGAGACACATGTCAGTGCACATGAACAGAGAAGAGGAGGGAGAGGCCTCGAGGGAGAGGTGGGAGGAATTTTACTTTACTTGTTCCCCACAAAAATGTAGCCAGTCTTTCTCAATCAACTTTTCAGTGTGTCCAGTAAGACTCTTTCTAATAGATCAGCCCTAGATCTGACTCCCTCATAGGAGCAGAATGTAGAATTCAGGTCAGTGTCCCCTGAATTCTACTCCTTCTTGAAGAACAAGTCCATGGTTACCATCTTCAGCTTAGAGTCAAAACGAACTCTGTCTTGCATACTCTTACTGGACTTGCATGCCTACGCCTATTTCAATCCTCTTTTCAACCCTAGCACATGGTGTATGTCAGACACAAAACTAAACTACAGCAGCGTTACTTACTAAAGGAGGCACTGGGGGCCATGGACTAAATAAACCCACACACTCAAGATCAATGCCCATCCCAGGCCCCAAACTCAGATACGCACGTACGTGCATGTGCACGTCTGTCATAAGAACCACAAAACAAATCAGAACAGTATATAGCTTCTGAGGCCACATTACTACTGATCAATGTCCTCCACTCACTCAGTCATTCACTTGGTATAGAATGGTCCCTGACAGTTGATGACATTGAAAATCTTTACGGGGGCAGAAAGCTTCATCTTTCTCCTGTGGAGCTGCTGATGGGTTTGAACTGCTGACCCTGAGGTGAGCAGCCTCACTTGTAATACACTGTGCCATCAGGGCTCCTGATTAAGTGTCCTTAAAGTGCCAGTGCTCTGTAGTTTCTTATGGGCTATCTACCACCATCAAATGACCGATTCCACAGCAGGTAGGATTCTCAAAGACCCCAATCAGAGCAATCCCCTGCTAACAGGTGCATTAAAAGCAAGAAGAAGAAGATTCCTAAGCTCTCATTACCTGTACTGCTCACTGATGGGAACATGCTGGGAGAAATACAAAGCCGATGTCCGCGCTCTCCAGTGCCATTTCTTTGCCGGAAGGGTAGAAAGGACGCAGCCTTCTAGTTCTTCTTGGAGGAGATCCACCAGCTGTTTATGGGACCCTCCATAGAAGGCCTCAATGATGAGAATACTCATTTGGCCCTTTCAGGCCTTCACAGGTTCTAAATAACAAGCAAAAACACCCAACTTTTTTTTCCTCCAAATTCACATACATGCGTATATACATATAACAATGTTGTAATAAGTCTAAGTGTTGTAGTTTGAGAAAGCAGATCATTCAGTCACATGATTTTTTTAAAAAATGAGCTTATACGTTCTAACAGCATATGACATTTATTTTTCATAATTATGATATTTTCATAATTAATATATTTTTGTCATTCAAGTTCATAGAGATGGGAAAAGGTGGTTCTGTTTCTCTGATTTGTTTTCTTCATGCCCTAAGACTACGGCTCCTTTTTTTCAGGCATCCCAGGAAGTTTGAAGGCTTCTTCTGCTATAATCACTCACTTCCCAATAAGAATGATGGGAAGCTGAACACAGTAAGCTCAGAATTTGCCTTCTCTAGAATAAGGGCAGGCAAAACTTTTGAGAAGGAAAAGCCAATCATGTACCTCACAACAATTTTTATTTGGGAGCCATAAATATCTTGTTATAAACAGAGAATGAAATCACCATTCTCTGAATAATATCCTTTCATTTTTTCCCCATTTTATTTCAGAGCCACATGTATGTACTCAAAGAGCCACATAAGATAAGGCTCGCAAAAAATAAATAAATAAAAATTTTAAAAGATAAGGCTCGCAACCTGCCATTTGCTGATCCTCCAATCTTGAATGGCCACTGAACTCATCTCCTCCCCAAAACTTCCATTCCAATAGCCATTCCATACAGGCGCTCTCCAGTTCACAGGCATTTTGATTCTGTAACTCTAAGAGATAGTAACCCATCATGAAATGTACCACCTGTCATTGACCCAGTGAATCTGTATGTAAAAAGCACATTTATATCATTTTATGATACTGGTGAGAGAACTCACTTTTTATTCTCTAGTGTGGAGGATAACTTCTTGGGACACCACATCACTGTACCTTGACCATTTCCCCACTATCATCAGTCTCTGGCACCAAAAAAGTGAGGGTAAAGATTTGTCTTTGAACCAGCAAGCTTTCTATAACCTGCTTTAAACAAGAAGCCCATGGTACCAATTAAAGCCCCTGTGAAACCTGATCGTGCTAGAATTGGCTATCAAGCAATTTTTGTTTTATCTTGTTTAACTGGAAGGATTTTTTTTGTAATTTGCTCAGTGAAATAAAAAAATGTGGTTAAGGTAAAACATTTGTATAAATTCAAATTATACTCTATTTCCTCTAAGAAATCAGGGAGAAACATCACTCTAGGCCCAATTACTATGTTGTTCATATTTCACATGTTTGGATTTTCCTTTATGACTTAGTAAATGCCACTTATTAAACAGCATTATATGTTTCTTAATAACCCTCTTCCACAAAATTCATAGTCTCAAAGACTCAATAATGCTCTTTACTAATGAAACTGCACTTCACCTTGCTCAGTCAAAGCCAGGCCACTGACATTGCATTTCACAGCAAAGGGCCTCAAGTGGCTCTCAAAGAAATGACTGAACGGAAAGAGATCTTAAGTTTCTTGATGCCTGATTGTGCCAACGAGTACTTTTCTGGAGAGAAGAAGAAAGAAATGCCTCTGTATATTTCACTTACATGCAAAATTAAGAGGAAGTGCTTCCTTTAGGTAGAAAGGCAGGAGGAACTCTGGTCATCCACGTTTGAACCTTAGCTCTGTCACCAATTAGCTATGTATCTATGGTTTGGGACAAATTACCTAAACAGGGATGACTAGGCCTCAAGGGCATCTTGTGAATAAAATAAGACAACGCATGTGAGCCTAGATGTTTGTACATGGTAATAAAATATGTATTCCTTCTCTTTATTAGTCGAAACCATCCATTTACGGAGAAAGGATACCTTAAGAGTCCTCCAGCTCTTAAGACCCTACCACTCCTTATCCACCAGCAAGATCATGACATGACAAAGGGGTGGACACATGCCTATGAAATGCCTCCGAATTAGCAGCTGGCATTTCAAGTACAGATGTGACAATCCTACAGGTTTTGTGGGTAAGAAGTGAACTGAGAGACTGACTAGTCAGAGGTCAAGTTTCTTTTTCTTTTTCCAGGCAAGCTGGCAGCATCTGCTCTAACAGTGTGGAGGTTCAACATGCTAACCAGCTCCCTCCAAGTTCAACAAAATGCTAACAATTAGTCCTGCAAATGATGGAAATGGCTAAAAGTAACTGAGAGACTAGTGCAAGACAATTTTTGAAAACTCTATCAAACATATCAACGCAGACCAAATAAAAGCAGTTTAACATTCATTTGCTTACTGGGCCACATCACAGATATCTGATATCTTGCTTTATTTCCTCTGACCTAATCAGGCTATGGGGTATAGTCCTATATATCCTTAAAAGGTCTCCAAAAGGCCTTGAATGACCTGCAATAGTTCTCTAAGTGATGGAATGTCATAAACCAGTCTAAAGAAGACCTCAGTCATAAAACCTCAGGAAAACAGCATCAATATTAGGAGAAAAAAAATGCTCTCTGATTCCTCATTACTCCACCCTTTCCCATGATTAATCAAGAGCCACTATCAGGCTATACATTCTATAGCTGAATCACAAGTTATCAGCAAGCCATGGGTCTGAATCACAAGTTATCAGCAAGCCATCAGCCACTGTGGGGGCAGTATGTGTAGGTGCTACTATAGAGTCAAAATACTCGGTAAGCAGAACTGAACACCAAGCGTGTGGGAGGCTGAAAAATAGCAAAGGGGAAGGGAAAACAAAGATTATAGCTATAGAAGCCATCCACCCCTTAAATAGCTCAGTGAAAAGAGTGAAATGTACAGGTTGGAACTAGCATTTACTTGGGCATTTTCCTGGTGGCCAATGGGTGTGCCTGCACTTTGGGTATTTTTCTAGGGAAAGTAACTATGTCCTACCATCTCTGAAAACTATACTTAGTGGCTTTGATTCATGGAAATTTGTTCTGCTTGTTTTGTGGAGACAGACATATCCTGGCACCTCCTCACTTACTTCTATTGCAACTTTTGTGGCAAGAGGAAAACGTGTTCTTCCCTGTAGTCTTCCTGAAGTACAACCTGGAAGAAAGATGATTCCCATTATAGTCAAGTAAAAAGGCGGGGGGTGGGGGGGGGGGGGGCACTGATTTTAAATAAAAGATTTGAACCAAATGCCATAACAGTACATAAAAGAATGGCTCAAATCTTTTCGTTGTGCTTGAGTTTTCTTTTGTAAGTCACTGCTTGAAACAAGTAAGTGTGAGGTTGGGACAAAACCCAAAACACTTTGTTAAAAAGAATGCTTGCTTTTGGGGTAGAATATCCCAAGACATAAAGGCAAGACAACAATTTACCCATTTTAACAGTCATCTGGGGAAACTGCAGGTGGTCTCTCAGATAGTAGAGATGCTCACACACACAGAGGGTGAATGCTGTGCAGGCACTTTTGCACTGCCAGCCTGGGTGGCGCTGGCAGTGAAGGGTTGAACTGGTCAGTATTGCAAGCCAACCAGCAGCTCCATGGGAGAAAGAGGAGGCTGTCTGCTCCCATCCATACTTACAGATCCTCAGAAACCAAATCTAGGGTCATGATGAGTGGGAAGTGACTCAATGGCAGTGGGTTTAGTAGAGCCCTGACCACAGAGGAGTAGCAGGATCAGAGCCTCAGGAATGAACTCAAAGGGAAAGAAGGTCTCCATGAGGAGGAGCCAGAGGCTGTGTGCAGATGTCTTCACAAACAATGGCAGCTGCCACACACAGAGCTGGATGTCTTGTGTGGTTCCTTCAGTTTATAAAATCTCTCAAGCTTGATCACGTGCACCACCACAAGCCTTAAGTCCTGAAACTTACTAAATTCATCACAATCAAGGGTATGGCTCTGATTTTCCATTAGGAAGAATCAACAGCAACAGAAGACCCTTATATCCGGGAACAAATCCCAAGCAAACAGCCCAAGCCCTTTTCCCATTCTGCCAGGATAACGAACTATGACCTGCCAAGTAAATGGCTAATCCATGCCTGCTCACTGAAAGAGCAGATACGTTGTTATCAACTTTTAAGGGTCTTTTTTTTTTTGCTTAAACAAGTAAGCTTCAGTTAAAAAAAAAACTCATTTCTTCAGCACATTTTATTCCCCAGGGATGCTAGATGAGTGAGAATCAACTATTAAAGCTTTATGAAAGCTTAATTCATTATCAATACTATGATTTAATGATACATGGTTAAATGCTACAACATTAAATCTGGCCATTCAAAATGAGTCCAAGTGATAGCTATGACACAGAAATTGTACATCACTTGAAATTGTACTTAAGATCACAAGAGGTCGACATGAGCTCTTTAAGAATTATTTGCCTTTACAAAAAATTATATTTACAATTAAAGAGGGATACAAAGCAAAACCTACGACAGTATTTCATTCAAGCATTTTGACCAAAGGGGGAAAAATGCATTTAACGTCATTGTATTTAAAAATAACAATACTAGGGGAGATGACCGAGAACAAAACTAGCCTGAAACCAATGCTCTTTTTAAATTTTTTTATTAAAAGTTTTTGTCTTTGTACCTGAACTTATTTTAGGCTTGACCCAATTTCTTTATTCCCTGAGCCATGATTATTTTCAGGGTGATCTACATTTTTTCTTTTGTCTACCTTCTTGGGCATTTATAACTACTGTGATATTTGAGGGACTTTTTTGTTAACTGTATAGACAAAGGAAATTTTCTATCTGCCATTGATTTATTATAAAAGATTTGCAAAGTGAGTTTTAAAAAATAAACCTGTCACATTAGAAATCAACATTAAACATCATATATGATGCTAATATGTTTACTTACACTATTCAGATAATTTTCCAGTCAAATACCAAGTGATCATTTTAGCTCAGAGGAATCATTGTGTTAGTATATTTCATAAACACCTTGCCAATGTTAGTTGTAGGAAGGTACAGTTTCGGTGATAATGGTTTTCATCCCACACATACAAAAAAATGGACATTACAGGCTTATCCATACATGGGGCTTGGTATCTTAAACTTCAATTGATTGCTGAAAATATATTGCTTATTTGTCGATAGGTCATATTTGGGTAGTAAAGCTTGACACAGCAAACAGCAGTGAACTTCAACAATAAAGGCTTCAAGTTGGGGAACATGAACTTTGAGTACCAGTTCCCAATATGTCATCAGAGGTTTGCCTGGTATTTTCTTACTGACCCCTTTTCCCCCTTCCCTTCTGCACCTCCACCCACCCATTCCAACACACCCCGTTCTACTGCAAAAGTCACTAATCGCCCAGCCGGGTAAAACAGGGCAGTACTGAGAAAGGTTTGCATTACCTTCCAACCCACTCACTTATTTTAATGATTCATCACGGAAACCCCACTTGTTGAAATATACCTGAAAGCTCATTAAAGAGTAAAAAAATAAGTGTGAAAAAATTTTTGCTTTCCTATAAGAGAACCTCTTAAATGTAAGTATGAAGTAAAATTACACTTCGGTTTAAAAAGAAAAAAAACTTTCCTTAAAGTAATTTGTAGTGCATTCATCAATCTCAATTTTTCTCAAATAAAATATACACAAATATGAATAAATAGATCCTAAAAGGTTATATTTTAGAGATGTCTGTTAAGAATTGAACATAGCAAATTTATTGTAAGTCCTAAAAATAACAACCTCTGAAGACTGAGATATAACTAGCCATCAATGAAGAGAAGTATTTTGCGATCCTAAAACTATGTACACTGACAATGTTCTACATAATTAAAGTTTGGCTAATACTAAAAAATGCTTACGATTTCTGAGCATCAGTTTGAACTGTAGATCACATGTAATGGGAACTAATTATTATTCCACTATATGATTATGGGACTTACACCTAACATTTGCAATGTAACTTGCAATACTATTTGTGTATTTACTAACATCTTTAGGTCTTAGCTATTTTCAAAATGCTAAAGGTGTTTAATTTCTTCAACTGTGACTTTTGTTGCCTCTTATATTTAAAGAACTTATGTAGTAAAACCAAGATTTTGTATGAAGACTTAAATGCCACACTGTTGAGACAATTTGAAGGTATTTTCAAATGAGCTTTTCCAATTATACAATTTGCAATGACTTTTGAGAGCATGCGCCTTTCAAAGTTATATTCTTATATGCAGTTTAATTTTTCCTGGCACACATTTCTGTTTTCTCGATTTGGGACTTCATTTCCTGCTTATAAATATCAGTCATTTACTCAATTACTTGAATTAATATAAATTCCTGATTATAACTGGCAAGTATCAAATGCAAATTGAACAAATATTTACTGACTACTTAACATGTCCCAGGCATTATGACATCATTTACTTGTTTTCAAACATGCATAATTTCAATAAATAATCAGATGTGTATTAATCACAAATTCATTATGTTACATTTTACAAAGTTATACTCCATATTGCATAGGAAAATTATACCTAAGATTATTTTTGTGACTGAGAAGCTTACTGATTTAATTTCATTCACAAATAAAATACCAATTCCTTTCCATTTTTTATTGCTATTAATTTCAGGAATAATTTCAAACTGTAAAAGTAGCAATGAATCAGTTCCATTGAATACTAAAAATATTTTCAATTTGCTGACATTTTAAAATGTGGCAGCATACTTATGAATCAACAGGAAAATTTTTAACTAGAAAATCATCTCATCACTCACTTTAACTATTGCATTACCCTTTTAACATGGTCTCTGTATTACCAAACAATCTTACTCCTGCCACACCATTCTGCATAAATCAGACACACATAATTTTTTTAAATGCAAATCTGATCATACAATGACAAGCTCAAAAGTCCCTTTTGTGAGTAGAATTGTGTCCATGAAAAATGTGTGGACATCCTACGCCTCATACTTAAGTGTGACCTTATTTGCAAATAGGGTCATTGTAGACATAATCAAGTTCAATTGAGGGTTACATACTCGGTTAAGCTGGATACTAACCTGACAGGACGTGTCCTTGTGGGAAGAGATGAAGAGACACAGACATCCAGGAGAAGGCACCCAATGAAGTGGTACTTCTATGACTGAAGGAACGTCAAGGATTGCCAACAACCACCAGGAGGATGGAGAGAAAAGAGGAACACATAAATCTCCAGAAGCAACAACTATTGACAACTAAAGTTTAGATCTCTGGGTTCCAGAACTGTGGAAGAATACCTATACCCAATCTGTAGTCATTGATCAGAGCATCTATAGGAAAGGAAGATAGCCTTCCATGTTTTATCACCAAAGGAAAAATTGAGCACCTGGCACATATTAATTAAGGGTGGCATTCCCTTCATGATTTCTGAGTTCTTGCTTCCTATTCACTAAAGCTTCACATCTTTCCCCACTTCAATCCTGCTCCCACTTCCCGGGTCCAAGCCTGGGTTGTAGCAGTACCCAATGCTAACACTCACCTCTGACTTCACAGCTCTATCTCGTCAGCTTCTGGCAAGTCTGCTTCGAGGTCCTCCTAGTAAACTTTTCTTAAAAATTCTGCCCATGAATCCCCAAATCTGTGAAACCTTTACATGAGTTCCTCTCCATTCTGAACAGTGTCCCTATACTAATCCCCATGCCCTGTCAACGACGTTGATAAGGCAGGGAAAATCTGGGTGGAATCTTAACATTATTTTCCTGAAGACTATCCCAGAATCTGGTGTGGGATGGATGTCACTAAGTTGTTATGGAGCTGAATGAAAAATCAGGGGAAGCAGAAAGTTGATTCTGCCCTTAAAGGAACACTGCCTTCCACTTTGCTCATGTTCTGAGCAAAAGGTCTGGGCAGCACTATAGCTGTCACGAGCGAGTCCTTCTGATTCCTCACCCAAACTGAGCGCCATGTATACCTGCAACATATTTTATTATTGTGTGTTCTTTCCAAGAGTGTTATACTGTCTTCGTTTTCAGGAGGGAAAAAAAATGTGGATTTAAGAAAATGTGTACAATTGTGTTCATCTGAATCTACTGATATAGATAGAAGTAACAATCTTACAGAAATGAGAGAAACAGCATAAACAATCCAATTCTAGGACAAAGAAGGGTACACAGCCTAAAACAATATCTGTGAGACCCATACATTTTTAAAATCACCTGCCATTTTTTATTTTGTTTGATCTACAACAATCTTAGTCAATTCCCTCACCATCAATCTAGATATCTCATTCTATATTTAGTAATTAGACTTTTATTTAGCAAGCAAGAAAGAAAAAGAGCATTTTAAAATACTTTCCGTGAACCATTATTCATATTATAAAAGTTTTACAAGATGAATAATATATTTGCTTTCCCAAGATGGCATGTCCTCAAGCCTTCCGCCTTCTTGAAATGGGATGAAAACAAGATCAGCGGGAGGGGCAGGAGTTTCTGGGCTCCCTGACCCATTTAGTCAGAGATACAGAAGAAGAGAAGTCAAGCACCTCATAAAAGTATCAGCAAAAGGAATGCTGACAGCTTTGTTCAATCCCTTTTCTTTCATCAGGAATAAATTGAGAATAGTACAGAAGGTATATTCATATGAGATTATTCAATATCTGTATCTTCCTCTGGGCGTTAAGTTTCAGGATGGCAGTAACTTGATCTGCCTTGCTTACCACCACGTCCCTAACACTTAGAAAAACACAACATTGTTCTTCTAAACAAATAATAGATGTGCGCTGTGTCAATAAACTATAAGACCCTTTAACATTTAACTTGCCAATTACTTCCTCACCCAGCCAAAGTCTTTTATTAGCAGCCTCTAAGAATCACACCTTACTACCACTTACTACTATTTTTTCCAAAGATAGAGTTTGCGGCAAAGAGTAGCCCACTGTCTAAACATAATAGGTGGAATCTTCCTGCGTTCAGAATGTCACACCTTATTCTGAGGAAAACAGTTCTGCCAACAACCCTGGTCAGGAAGTTAAAAGCCATGTTTCACACCATGGGAAACGTCCTTCCCCACTTGACTGGATTCTATGTAAACATTTAACTCAAGGACAGTACAGTCTCTTACCTGGAAGGATTCAACTGGTTTTAAAACTATACCAGAATTTTCTATTGGGCAGAAGCATTGTCTTGCTACCATACATGGCCTGTACACTGACCAAATTTTAACTGAGGCTTATGTTTATGCAGGCAAATTCTAACTATACAGATCCAAAACCCAAAACCCAACCCCCTGCCATTGAGTCGATTCCAACCCATAGTTCCCACAACCCTGACAGAGCAGAACTGCTCCACACAGTTTCTGAGGCTAGGAATCTTTGCTAGAGCAGATTGTGGGTTTGAACTCCCAACCTTTCAGGTGGCAGCTCAATGCTTATTTATCCCACAGTACCCGCAGGGCTCCTTACACAAACCAAGTGAATTTAAAATCAAGAGACGAGCAGATTCTTAACTATGCCAGCACTACTCAGTCTCACGCCAACATCTTTTAAGAACTTAATCCATATTAACTAAATAAAGTGTTGCTGGAGGTTGCTCTCCCTAAGGGGGAGGCATGCATCACACTTCCGGTTAGTTTTAAAGCAGAAATCACAGGACTGCATTAACACACAAATATTCGCCACCTCCTACTGGAAGTCCAGCTACGCAAGCAAACATGGGTGGCATTCCCTCCATGATCTGGAGAAGAGAAAAACGGTCGCAAAGTATAAAGTTCTGGATTTACTCACTTCTAATGAAAAAATGAAAAGAGCACAGTAATCTCACAACTCGATGTACCTCGTCAGTGAGAAAAATCACCTTAGAATAAATGCAGAAATCCTACTGACTCATAAGGCTAAAAGAGAATATATACATATATATATATATAAATCAAGTGAACACCTTAGAGGATAAGAAAGAGAGATTTTATAAAGGACTAGGCAGGCTAGAAATCTATACTAAGAAGTATCACTGTTGGACACATGAAATATTTTTAATAGTCATCTTGTATTGATGAAAATCATCTGGCAGTAACAGAATTTCTCTAATGATGTGAGGAAGCTGGAAGCGAAGCCAGCAATAGAATGAAGCCTTTAAAATGCATATCAATAAAACCAGCCTTTAAGACATATCAATTAAGAGATTTAGTGACACCTCCCTCTATTTCTGCAAAAATAGAAAAATTAAAGTAGAATTTGTTAAAAGTGTAGTATCTTCCATTTATTGACTGTAGCAACATTTATTTCTTCTACTCTCCAACTATCTTTCAAGAATCTTGTGATGCTTCTGGTCTCAGATATTTGCTCGTGGTAGGAGAAGCTGATACCAGAAAGACTCGATAAAGTCTACAGACTTTTCATGTTCACCTTCTGAAAATCCACATACTCAGCTTAGCCCAGGACTGAGTAGATGAATAGCTGTGGTCAGAAGAGTTCTATCACATTTTTAAGTATCTCAAGGAACTAGAGACTATTATAAGAAGTGGGTCACCAGTATGGTAACACTAGGCTGTGATTTGTGAAATCGTGAAGATGTTTAGGACTGACCTGTGTCATCGAGAGAAAGTACACACAGCCAACACTTTATGGTTTCTACATGGTCTAACGTGCTCCAGAGTGTCTGCAAAGGAGGCACGGGCTGGCCCATATCATATGACAAACAAGTTTCCCCTGAGTAAAAGATAACTAGAAATAGCTTGGAGTTTCCTGACTAGAGCGAGCATTGTGACTTTTATCTGTTTAGTGGCCTTGTCTGTCACTATTATCTCTTTAGCAACTGGATTTTCAAGGAGGCATTTTGGTTATATAAATATTTTGTCTAATGAAGCAGAGACCCTACAGCCCAGAGTTATTCTTTGCAAACTAGCGAAAGTCACACTTTACATCCTCATCGTCTCTTTAAGGGGAAAAAAAGGATCTCACACATTGCAAACAAGTGATCAAACAGAGTAAGGTTGCTTAGGAGTTAATTAATTCTCCTCTGCAAATCCACCCAGCATAAATACACACTATAGCTGGGACCATTAGTCTCTCCACTGTATTAATTAGCATTCATAGTTAACAAATAGCCTGAGTCATTTTAAAGAGAGAGAACTTAAACTTCTAAAACAGGCCTGTAATATCCTATACTTTATGTAACAGTTGCTCCAGTGTTGTTGGTAGAATGGAAGCAAAAGAAGACACTGACTCTTCACACCGACCCTTTCCCTCGCTTGCTTCCAGAGTTCACGTGCAAGCATTACATGTGAAACAGCAGACAAATGACTGCACGTTGTTAGATGTCAGCTGGCCAGGGTGCAATGGGCTACCTCTCTCAGGAGGTTCTGCGTGTCACAAGAGCAACAGATGGTGGCAAAATATCAGCCATCTGCAAAATAGATACAGAGCATAATTTGAGCCTGAAAAGCACCTTTGTCAAGTCCTGAGAATGTAGCTCTTATGGACTGAATTATTCCCCTACACCACCACCAAAATATGTGTTGTAAATCCTAACTTCTATGCCAGTTGTTATAATGCCATTTGAAACTGGATTGTCTTTATTGTGCTAATGAGGCAGGATTGGTGTAAGGTGTATCTTGAATCAATCTCTTTTGAGATATAAAAGTGATTAAGCAAGCAAGCAGAGGAGAGAGAGATGGGTTAGGGGAGATGCAAAGCATATGCAGATTGCCCAGGAGCAAAGCTCAGTAAAGACATAAGACATCTTTCTTCCTTTAGAATCAACAGAGAGAGGGGCTTTCCTTAAGGCAGGTGGCCTCAATTTGGCCTTCTAGCCTCCTAAACTGCAAGAAGAAAAATTCCTGTTTGTTAAAGTCATCCATTTGCGGTATTTCTGTTGTAGTAGCAACAGACATCTAAGACAGTTGTGTAAACGTTGCTAACTCCTCTAGCACAAGGCTACCTTTGCTTTGAAGTACTGTAAAATGCCTTGTCATGTGTGGAAATAAATACAAAGGGCTTGAAACTTGTATCTCTTTAGATTCATCAATATCACATCCAAGAATAATAAAAATAAAAACCTTTGCCCTAAACTTGAAATAATCGAAATACCCAAAAAGGGCAAGTATGTTTAAAATGATTATCAAAAACCATTAATAATACTTATTGCCAAAAAAAACCATTCACGATATTGCATGATTACATTAAATGGATATGTGTA